AATGGTGCCAGGAACTGTGCATTCGTAACAAATGGTGCCAGGAACTGTGCATTCGTTACAAATGGTGCCAGGAACTGTGCATTCGTAACAAATGGTGCCAGGAACTGTGCATTCGGCAATGTTCATAATGTTAAATTCGGAATTGTCGTAGCCATGATTTCATTGGGGGAGGGGGGGGAGGGGGGGGGGAGAGAGAGAGAAAATAATTTCTTAAAAAGGCGCACCGTTCTAAGTACCGTACATTATTTTAGTGTCAGATGATTAAAATAATTAATGATTTCATTGGGGGAGGGGGGGGAGGGGGGGGGGAGAGAGAGAGAAAATAATTTCTTAAAAAGGCGCACCGTTCTAAGTACCGTACATTATTTTAGTGTCAGCTGATTAAAATCATTAGGATTAGGATTGTATGCATTTATTTTTGTATCGCTCATACACCGAAGATGTGAAACATTTGTATTGTGTTTGTATTTTAGCTAGACCCGAGCTCAGAAGTGATTGACATAGCATTAAGTCATTAAGGATAAGACATATTATCTGGAGAAGCCCAGAGACCTCGACTTATCAGGGGCCTCGGCAGGTCAGGGGCCTCGGCTGGTCAGGGGCCTCGACTGGTCAGGGGCCTCGGCAGGTCAGGGGCCTCGACTGGTCAGGGGCCTCGGCAGGGCAGGGGCCTCGGCAGGTCAGGGGCCTCGGCAGGGCATAGCCCGGCACTGAAGGGCGGCACTCCCCAGGTTACAAGTATCGGTTATAAAACTACCCCGATTCTCGTCTATATTATGTCAGAGGCTGGTTCAAGTTTAAGATAGTTTGGGTACACCGTAAAATCTTCGGATGTTAAATGTCAGAACGTTGCATTCCTTGCCACCAAGTGAAGAATTGCCTTGTAGAATTACAATAAGCAAAGGGAAACAACCAAAATATTGACCACCTGTGGTGACTAATTCCCCCTGACGCCATATTTGTATCGTCTTGTTAAAATTATATTTTCTGTACCTTTTCCCCCTATGTTAAAATTATATTTTCTGTACCTTTTCCCCCTATGTTTTCCTCAAGGTTTTCACCTGGTTAATGTTAGGTGATGTACTTCCTGATAAAGACATACATTACGTTATGCGTCAGTTAGTCCCGTCTACAATACGTCACTCATAAGAATCAAAGGCTCACATTTCTTATCTCTTATATCTTATTACTTACTTATGCCTTTACGGCCCCGCCCCCCCCCTTCCCAACACATTTTTATATAGCTACGGCTACAACATTCCTTTACAGTTGCTTCCAGATGTATCCCATACTGTGCCTGCCAGATGTATCCCCGACTGTGTCTGCCAGATGTATCCCCTACTGTGTCTGCCAGATGTATCCCCTACTGTGTCTGCCAGATGTATCCCCTACTGTGTCTGCCAGATGTATCCCATACTGTGTCTGCCAGATGTATCCCCTACTGTGTCTTCCAGATGTATCCCATGCTGTGTCTGCCAGATGTATCCCCTACTGTGTCTGCCAGATGTATCCCATGCTGTGTCTGCCAGATGTATCACCTACTGCGTCTGCCAGATGTATCCCATGCTGTGTCTGCCTCTAGCTAGCGTCCCCGTGCAATCTTTGGTCTTCGTGTCTCTCCCCCCCCCCACCTCCCCATTTCCCCATGGATTACATCTGGTGATGTTTGAGGTTTACGGAAGAGTGTGCCCTATCCAGCTTAACCTTTTCCTGTTGATGTCGTCGGCGATAGGCTCTTGTTATGTCCGTTGTGGTAGTTGAGATGTCCGCTGTAGTAGGTCCTTGCTGTTGTTGATGTGTGACAAGATAATGCTCAGCATCTTCCTCGGGAATTTCTTTGTGAAGGTCTGTGCTTTCTGTGTGAAGGTCTTTACTTTGTGTGTGAAGTTGGTTGTGCTCCAAGTTTCAATTCAAGCGAGTAGGACTGAGTTTACTTTTTTTGTTAAATGTTTTTAAATGAAAATATTAAATTGGCTCATGCATTTAAACAATGAAGAAGACGTGCTATTTCACCCTGAGCTTAAGAAGTACAGATAACAGTGACGTGACAAAGACACCTGCCAACAAATGACAAATACACCTGCCGACATGAGAAATTTTACACCTGCCGACAAATGACAAATACACCTGCAGACATGGGAAATTTTACACCTGCCAACAAATGACAAATCCACCTGCTGACATGGGAAATTTTACACCTGCCGACAAATGACAAATCCACCTGCAGACATGGGAAATTTTACACCTGCCGACAAATGACAAATCCACCTGCCGACATGGGAAATTTTACACCTGCCAACAAATGACAAATACACCTGCAGACATGGGAAATTTTACACCTGCCGACAAATGACAAATACACCTGCCGACATGGGAAATTTTACACCTTCCGACAAATGACAAATACACCTGCAGACATGGGAAATTTTACACCTGCCAACAAATGACAAATCCACCTGCAGGCATGGGAAATTTTACACCTGCCGACAAATGACAAATCCACCTGCAGACATGGGAAATTTTACACCTGCCGACAAATGACAAATACACCTGCAGACATGGGAAATTTTACACCTGCCAACAAATGACAAAT